TCTGTTAAGCAAGGATCTGCACTTGTAAGAATTGATCAAGGAAATTCAGGGGGAAACCTAACACGAATCCCCATGCTCAGGGTAAATAGACCTCAACCAATTAAGAAATCAATCTGTACAAAGCAACAGTTCATGGAATGTAGCTCGCAGTTGGACTATACTTGAATAAAGTCCTCATTAATAGGCTCATAAATTCTGTCATTGGAAAAATTATTGATGTAATCAATGCAATTGCCTTATGGTTTTCTTTTTGTGTATATGATTTTTGTCTGTTTTTCTGCCTTTTGTTTATTTTTGCTTTGTTGGTGGTAATGGTGTTGGCGTTGTGGGGTTTTGTTTTTGCCATAATACGATAGCTAAAGTAAACCAAAATCACTGATGACCTGTGGTCAAGCAGTTAGATTCTGGGCTCCCGCTGAACTCTAGCCCCAATCCAAGAACAGTTCGTTCTTATAACATGGCCTTGCTTGATACTCACCTTCATGAAATGATCACTGAGGATACTAGTGCTACAGCAAAGTGTGGTGAAGAAAACAGATGGTGCCCGGCTATCCATTGAAATTTGGAATCTGGGGTCTTAAAGGCTTTTTTTCAAACAAGCAGCCATCTAAGTGAGACATCAACTAGATCCACATGGAAGAAGCATACCAGCCTGTGTGATCCAAAGATGACAATAACAACATCTAAATACGATGAAGGGAAAAGTATCAAAGCTTAAATTGTGAACACCCAATTTTCAGAAGGCTCTGGATGACAGTGGGAGCCCAAAATCCATCTTAAGAGTATCTAGCCAGATTAAACCTTTGGCAGATCCCCTCTAGCCACAGGCAAGATGCTCAAACAGCTCTACTATCAGTCAGATTATTCTAAACTTGATTATGGTAGATGGAGCCATGATATATGATTTTTGGTCAGTTGACTTCCCTCTTGACCCAACCTGAATTTGCTCAAGGCTTACGCTTTTTTCTCACTTGTTCCACAACAGAAATTTCTTCTCTGGCTTTTAAAATGGGGATGGTGGTCTTTTTTTCTCTTACTCTCTATTTATATTTTTAATCTTCATATTATTATTATTTTCTTCTTGCCATTTTGTTTTGTTTTTATATTTCATTGTTTCTGTTGGTTTTCCAGTTTGTAAAGCACAAAAGGAGTAAATGCATAGAGATAATAACTGATATAATGGTTTATTGGGGGTTTGGGGTGGTGCTAAGGGGATTTGGGGAACAAACAATGAATGTGGGAGGAGGAGGGAGCACTAGAACTGATTGTGATGATGCATACACAACTCATTTTAAAAGCAATTTAACCATGGAAATGTATGCTATGTGAATACTACAGTTAGAAAACTACTTTAAAAAAAAAACGAAAAGAAAAGAAAATAAACTTGATCAGTGGCTACAATCGGTGAAGGAGAAGTAATTGTTGCTTAGGGAGCATTGTGTTTATGTTAAGGATGGAAAAGGATATTAATAATGGTTGCACAACATGAGGAATATAATCAATAGTACTGAATTATACATGCAGAAATTGTGGAATTGGAGAATGTTTTATTCTGTAAATGTTTGCCACAATCTACTTTTATGTAGAAAATTAAGAAGAAAATGCATAACACAAGAATGGTGGTTTTTGGGGGGGCATTCTAGCCCATCTTCAGGATAACTTTTAAAGTCCTGTTGTTGGTGAATGGATTGCACTTGGCGATAAGCTGAAAGCTTGGCCATTCACATCTACCCAGATGTGCCTCAATAGGCACGTCTTCTACTTCTGAGAGGTCCCAGCCAGGGAAAGCCCTGTGCAGTGAAGTTCTGCTCTGACACACATGGGGCCTCCAGGAATCAGAATCACTCAACGGAAATTGCGTTTGTTGTTGTTAACAGTATCTTGATCAGTGATATCCTATAATTTGCCAACTTAACAGAAAAAAAGGCTCTTTACTGATAGAAATAGTGACCTATTGTCCACTGTGACAAATGTTAAAAATGAGTCCTCCCATCCCCAATTTGAAAGTCCAGATATGTGATTATCCAAAAATATCCTGAAGACTCTCTCTGCCTTGAGTGATGGTGAACACATCCCTAGAGACCAGTAGCCTGTACACTGAGCAGGGATGCCCTGGGCTAGGTTTCTTATGGCGCATCTAAAGAAGAATGCTGGGAGATTCTAGGCACTGACAGAATCCAAAGCAAACCAAATTCACGGCCATAGATTTGATACTGACTCAGCAATATCCCTGTGGATTTCCAAGACTGTAACTGTTCACGGGTGGTATTGAACTGCCGACCATGCAGATCAAAGACCAATGCACAACCACTACACCACCAGGGCTCCTATGCATGATACTCCCTCTGAAATCTTTGCTTCTGCTTGGAGAGAAATTTCTTTGGCTCCTTTCATTTACCAAAAGACCCTAAAAGTCATGTGTGCCCATATTGGCTTAGGTTATCCACAAAAATAGGACTTCCGCAAAATTGGTGTACAGTACTTGCTTTTACTTCCTCCCCCTGGTTTTTAGCTTTTTGCTGTTATACATAATGCTAAGATACATGCTTTCTCCCAAAATAACACTACCCAAGAAGTTAAGCCAAGGGCTACTGTCTGAAAGAGTGGACATTTGAGCCCAACCAGAGTACCTCAGAAGAAAGGTCTGGCAATGTGCTTTCAAAAGATCAGAACCATGGAAGACCTATGGAGGGGAAGTTCCACTTTGTCACACATGGAGTTTCTGTGAGTTGCAGTTGATTCAGAACCAGATGCATCTTCTTCTACAACTTCTCTTTCTTTGAAACTTCAGCCTCTGTTGTATCCTTCTAGTGGAACGACGGTTCTTCTCCTTCCTTCACAACTCTCAGCCGGTGATCAAATCCTACAAAGAGTCACATATCTGGGCTCAATGAATGCCCACTGGATGAACGAGTGATTGAATTCAGATTTGAGTAAAGCAGCAAGGTGCTGTCAATGGTTTAGTTAGTGTTAAAGACAACATTATCAGTAAGTTAAAACTAGGCGATGCTGCAGTAACAAGCCCACATTTCAGGTACTTACAAGAACTAATGTCTTGTTAATGTAACAAATCCTCTGCTCCATGTCACCTTCATGTTGGACTTAAGGAAAGGAAAATCATCTCTGATCAATAGAGGCACAATTCACTTTCCTTGGCTGGAGTAAGTCACCTGGCAAGCTTTGTGGAGGAAGAACAAATATTTTAAATGTACTTCAGAGAGCAATGTAAAAATGGTGATATTATGTGTAATAGAAAAACTATACTTTGTCTTTTGAAGTGTCACTCCAAACTTAATCACCTTTTGTAAAATCTTCCGAAGTATCTTTGTATGAATGTGTGGACAACAGAAAACGTACAATCCTAATGGGTTCTGATCACTGATTGTTCTGTTGAAATACAAATAATTTTGGAGGCGTCCTTCTTGTGCTCTCAGAGCCTCTCCTCCATCCCTATGAAATCTTACGTGTCTAGGAGTCTAAGTCATGAGTCAAAAAATTTGAAATTCACGTGGAATAAATATATTGCCTCCTGGTTGTCAGTTCTCCGGGAACAGAATCGTATTGCCTTTATTTCCTGGCATCCAGTATACCACTTCACCGTACCAGGATGTAAGCCTCCTCTGGTTTCACATGGGGTGCATTGGCTGAGAATTTATTAGCGTCTCCATAGGGAAGGCAGTCATTCTATCAGAACCAGTGGTTCCATGGAAACGCTGAACCAAGAAGAGCAAAGCCATTGCCGTGGAGTCATTTCCACCTCACGGCACCAGCATGTGTTGCAGAACAGAACTGCCCCAGAAGATTCTCATGGCTACAATCTTTACACAAGTAGTTTGCCAGGTCTTTCTTCGGTGGGGCCATTGCGTTTGTTAAAATTGCCAACCTTAAGGTTAGTAGCCTAAGGCAAACAGTGCCACTCAAGGATCAAGTAACCATTTAGTAATTCCCATTTCAGCATCCCCCAAGCTTAGTGAAGAATCATCTTTAGTGGTCCTCCAAAAAGGTAATCTATGTCTAATTCAGCTTAATAGGTCTCATTACTTCAAGATCTCTCAGTTTAGTCATTCATATGATAATGCTCACTAGGCTTTTTGCTGATGACATCATGGCACATGGGCTTTGCAATGATATATCTGTCATGAGAGCCATTGTTAAATTTTCAGGAATTTTGCAAGATGGTTAATGTCAAACTTCTAGTTTGAAATGGGTCATGGTCAGAATATTTAAGCAACAAAATCAGCAAATACTAAATCAGGATCTTTCCCCTGCGCCCACCCCAGATCCATACCAGCACATCATTTGTTTCTCAAACCTCTCTGACCATTGTTGTAGGTTGAATTTTGCACACACACATGCACAGACACTCAAATATGTATAGAAATCCTACCTACAAATGGAGTGCATGGGTGGCACAAATGTTTAAGTACTGAACCACTAACTAAAAGGTGGTTGGTTTGAACTCACCCTGAGGCACCTCAGAAGACAGGGCTGGAACAAGGCTTTTGAAAGCCCCATGGAGCTTAGTTCTACATTGACACACATCAGTCCCTCCCTAAGTCATGATTAACATGATGGCAATTGTTTTGGGTTCCTGTAAAAACTACCGCTTAGAAATATGGGCTTTTCTTCTTTTATGTTAATGAGGCCATTGTAAGGTGCATCCTAATTACTTACCGGTAATAAAAAAGTGTAGCATAAACACAGAGACACACTCTGCATGAGGGGTGGGGGCGGAGAAGACAGAGGGCAAAGACAGATGCACCTGTACGTCCGTCCCCAAACACTAAGGACTGCTGACAACCCCAGAAGCTGAAATAAGCAAAGAAAAAGGAAGATTCTGTTTGGTTTTATGCTTGCTCTGAGACTCAGGCTAGTGGAGCAGACAACATCTGGGAGACATTTAAAATACAGCAAGTCAGAGTATGCACCAGTGCTTGCATATTCTGCCCCAAAGTGGTGGATATCAGTTTTACTCACCTATCGATTCTAAATCACGTACCATGGCCACACCTGACTTCACCTGGGTGGAGAAGTGCAATCCTACCACGTCCTTAGGCAGAAGCCAGAAGCCAGAAGCCGCCAAAGTGATTATCATATGAGCATCAATGCTTAACAATAAAATGAATGTTCCTGTTTTCAGCAGTGTTATAGAGTCAGATTATCAAATGATTGGTGATGATGACTTACAGGTAAACTTTTATTCACGTAGTAAATAAACAACCATGAATGCCTGGATATTCTTGAAGATTCATTCTCTATATAGTTCTCAGAAAGTGCGAAGTCCTCAGAAGTTAATGTAAAGGATGCATAGTTCAGTTTCTTTGTGATTATAAGATAAGGACCATATTGTTTTAACACAATAATTACCTAATTATCAGATAATCCAGGGTAACACACACACACACACACACACACACACATTAAACTGACCAGAATCTGTGTGATGCAAAAAAAGGGTTTTTCCTCAGGTTATCTCCCCCAAATAGATGCCAAACCTAAGCCTCTGCTTGCTACACGTGGTAAATGACTGCACACTTGGAGGTCATCACAAGCCACCTAAGGTTATTCACTCTGGGGGTTATTATCCATGTAGAACAATCAGACTATATAGTCTGTCCCACCCTAGGTAGGGCCCACTCCCTTCTGAAAAGGGTGGTGGATTGTTTCCTTGAAGGAGACCCCAGGGACAAGTCAAACCCACTTATGGATGACCAAGGTTAGGCTGCCATCTTGAGTCTAGCGTCCCCTCATCTTGCCACATGTGTACCCCTAGTCCCTCCCCTTCCTATATGTGTACAGCCCTAGCTCATCCCTTTTCTGTGACGCCTATGCCTATTGTGCAGCCCCTTCCTATGACAGAGGTGGTTACCTGTAATCACACCCATAAGTATATCTAGGCCTTGGTCAGAAATAAAAGGCAGATGCTTTCTTCTCCCTCCCCCTCCTCCTGCTCTCTGTGCGGACCTGGCTGCTGAGATCACGGCCGTCCTGGAGGTGAGCAGGCTACCATACAATATGTCTGACTCCTTTATTTTACCTTCTCTCCTATCTCTCCTATCTTCTATGACTTTACTAAGATCTTTATATATTATCACTGTACAATTGCACCTACAGCCCCATGATATATTATTAAGGGGCTGGATATCCTAACAAGAATCTATGTTGTTGTTGATAGATACTGTTGAGTTGGCTCCAACAGAGTTGAATGAAACACTACCTGGTTTCATTTTGAGTCACCCTCAAAATTGTTGTTAAGTTTGAGCCCATAATTTCAGAAGAGACCCTGAACCTTGCTCTTAAATGTAGAATAGCTAAAGGAAATGGAAGAAAAAGAGCTGAGCAGAAAGTTTCAAACGGTAACTAAACAAATCCAACCAAAATAAAGCATTCTAATGAAATATGAAAAATCTGATTAGTAAAGAACAAGGGAAGAACATATTCAGTCTATCTTAAGCTGAAATAACTGGAGAATACCATCAAGACATGAGCTGGATTATTGGAGTTGGATGTGTATGGGGAAATATTGAGCAATGCAACCAAGCAGCAGCAGAAGAAGAAAGGGTCTGTACAACTGAACCAGTCCCGTATTGTGATTTGTTAGAAGAATAGAAGGAGGAGGAGGAGGAGGAGGAGGAAGAACGGGAAACCTAGTCACCATACCAAAAAGAATTGGTCAACATTCAACCATTTCAAAAGGTCGTTAGTGGAAAACAAGCTCCAGGAACTGACAGACTACCAAGTGAAATGTTTACAAAACGGATGCAGTACTAAAAGCACTTACCTAGCCAACTTACAAGAAGAGGTCCGTGTCTGTGCCCATGCCAAAGAACTGTGAGCCAACAGACTGTGGAAATTATTGAATAATGTCATTATTATCACACGCAAGTAAATGTTGACTGAAGATAGTGCAAAAACAGTTGCAGTCATGCACTGTCAGGGAGATTCAGAGGAGAATATGGAACAAGGGATATCATGGCTGATGTCTTGGCTCTTGGCTGAAAGCAGAAAATACCAAAAAGATGCTTACTTTTGTTTTATTGACTATGCAAAGAAATTCAAAAGTGTGGATCATAACCAACTATGGTAATATTGCAAAGAACGCACATAGTCATGCAGAACCTGTACACAGATCAAGAGGCAGTCGTTCAAACAGAACAAGGGGAAGCTGCATGATTATCTGTATGCTGAGCAAGTAGTCCAAGAAACTGTACGATATGAAGAAGAACAGGACATCAGGATTGGAAGAAGTCTCATTAACAATCTACGATATGTAGATAGCACAATCTTGTTTCCTGAAAGCCAAGAAAAGTTGAAGAACTTATTGTTGATTATCAAAGAGCCTACAAAAAGCCTTCAATATGGATTACAACTTTTGTGAAGAAAACAAAAATCTTTACTGGACCCATAGATGACATTATAATAAGCTTAGAGAAGATTGAAGCTGTCAAGGATTTCATTTTATTTAAATCTACAATTGATGGTTAAGGAAGCAGCAGTTCAGAAATCCAAGGACGGGGCACTGAGTAAATCTGCTGCCCAAGACACCTTGAAAGGGTTAAAGAGCAAGCTGGCCCTTTGCGAATCAAGGTGCACCTGTCCCAAGCCATGCTGCTTCCAGTGGCCTCCGCTTGCTTGGGAAACCTGGACAGAGGATAAGGAAGACTTGATGCTTTTGCATTATGGTGTTGGTGCAGAATATGAAAAGACCCTGGGACTGCCCAGAGCACAAAACAAATATGTCTTGGCGGTCGGACAGTCAGAATGATCCTTAGAATCGAGGATGCAAGTGTACCTCAAGTTCCTTGGACATATTGTCAGGCTTGAATAGTCCCTGGAGAAGGACCTCATGCGGAAGACCCCGTACCAGCTGGGATTAGCAGAGAGCTCAAGTGTACCGGAAGTGAAGCCGGCACTGGCCTGGCCAGTGTTCCATTCTGTTGGATGTAGTGTCACTGTGAGCTGGAGCTAACTGGAAGGCAACTAAGAGCGACATCAAAGTCCTCAGCAGCCCTGGGGTCACAGTGAATTAAATGTTGGGTGGCTAATGAAAAGGTCAGGGATTCAAACCCATCTTCTCAGAGAGAGAAAGATGAGGCGATCGATTTCAGTAAAGATTCACAGTCTCAGAAATCATATGAACGTAGTTCTACTCTGTCTTATGGGGTGGCGGCAATGAGTTAGAATCATAGGCAGTGGATATAGGACCTTTTAGGATTCTCTCTCTCTCTCTTCTCACTTCCTGCAAGACATCCCTGTGGAGAAGACACATGGAGAGAGGCTGATGGAGCCAGACCTCTGGAGCTGGAGAAGCCACATGGAGAGCCCTGCCAGCGCTGAGATGCTTACAAGGCCTCTGAATCCACAAGACTTCCTGCCCACTGGCCTGTGATCTTCCTGCATCATTCGGCGTCATTGCATGTG